ACGTGGACGCTGGATTTCGGTTGCGTATTTACTGTAGTTATGATGGCGCTTGAAAGTCGATTTCTTGGAATACTATGTGCCATGAAAATGAAAGACTGATGGGTGTAAATCCTTGCGATCGCTTACCGGTCTTCGGGACAAAGCAATGCCTTACCTCAGCCTGAAGCTGTTCTGTATCCCAGTCTGGCGCGGGTTCACGCCAGATGGTACTCTTCAATTACTAAAAACGTAACCTCTCTTTACAATTGCACTGATATAATATCCTCAAACCAAGAGACTTAAATAGTTTAGATAAGTTAATCACCGGCTAGATAACATTCATTCAAACTCGAAAAACATAAATATTGCTCAGAATGTGAGCAGCTGAGCAACAAGTGTTCTGACGATAATAAAAATATTACGGCAACCTATATATCATAGAAAAACTAAACAACGATAACAATTGCGAAATTAAATCATAAAGTAACATTACTATTATTGTGTGGTATTAATTTAGAATATTACCGTTATTGCAACATTCTTAACCTTCTTTGAAGAACGCTATAATACAATAATCTACATTACATATGAATCCGTCTAGTATTCAATTAAAACAACAATTAGTAATCAATTCCTAAAAGCTAGGTTGGGGAGGCAAATATATGTAATATTTTTGGCAGGCCGGCTTAGCTCAGTCTTGAGTCCTTACCGCTTACTACTTAATATCAATATTGGAAAATTTGTGGCTTTAGAGTGCAAATTTATTTAAATTTTCGCGCAGATATCAAAACCAGGCCATAAATCTATGTAAAGCTATACGCGGCAGCCGATATACATAATCGAAGACATTAAATAAAGAGATCTATCACCGCAGAATACTAAAATGATAAATACACTAAATATCTATCTATATAATTTTATCAAATAAATATATAAACTCAAAGTAAATAAACCGTTTTGTTAAAGCTATAAATCAAGCATCTGGTTATATTGGGGTTATTTCAACATTACTTTTCTGTGTTCGTACAATCACTTTATTAATTACAGCATTGAATTTTTCGCTAGACAACACGTTGTGAGGTTCATAAGCATGTTGAGCATTCATCTAGACGTGATGAGTATATGATAGTATAGCATAGGCATCATAACACTCAGATTTAGGGCGCACTATGAAACTAACTATTGAAGCTCATCCAAAATACGTTGCAAAGTACTTCTACTTAATGCATCAGTAAAACTCTCTCAAATTATTCTACGAGACACAAATTTCATTTATTTCCGTTCTTACTGACTCAATTTGACTGATTCTGACCCTGAGATCCTTCTTTCCAGCGGTGCCAGTTAGGAGTGAGCAAATCTGATTATGATTTGGTTGAATCGTCCCCAGGCATTCGGTCGTCGCATCTGAAAGCATATTCTATCGTTAGAGGTAGTAAATAGTACCATTAGAGTAAGACAGAAATGAAGAGCGAATGCTAAATCATTACAGTACAGAAAAATATATACGTAGAAAAAAAGTAAGTCTAAATATCCCACGGTCATAAAAGATAATACAAACTCTAGATAATTTCCAGGATTTTATATAAGTAATGATTTGGAGTTTTGGACAGTTGAGCTCAGAAAATTTTCTTGCACAATGATTATAAAAGATTCTAAAAGATCAGACTTAAATGACGCTTCCATGGATGACGTGTTGGTTTCGCTATATCACCGTGAACATATTTGTCGAGCGATCTATTCCGTTCGGAGAGAATAAGCAACAACTAGACAGAACTCAAATAATTATCCAAGAAATTCCTCATCAACAATTCAACTTAATGTATCAGACCTGCTGATAGCTTTAGGACTTTATTTATATTCGTTGTAGCTATCTTAGCTAACATCATGCTCTAAACTGAGATCGCATTCACTAATTATTGAGACTTCTAACCTATAAAAAGTATGTATGAAATACTGTAAGTCTTCCTTGTTCTCCAAAAGCAAGTGATATCTTTATCCTCTGAGGGAACGATTTGACCCATAATGTGTATTTGAACTTATCTTAAACAATTAAAAAGACTAATTTCTTCTGGTCCCTAGTATAAGAACATGATGCATTTTAACTTATATTTTAAATTCAAATCGAAACAATATAAAACTGAAAGCGACTTTATTCATTAACTTCACACCTACTAATTTATGTCTCAAATTTAAGAAACATTATTAGACCTCTTAAATAGTGTTACACGGGTGTCAATGGTACTTGGTGGAAACACCAAGAACATCCATCTGAATTTTACAATCCTTTTGTTTAACCAAGCGTTAAGCTACAAATTCACTCGACTTCCAACATAAACCCTATAACCTTAATAAAATCAATCAACCATCAGAAATGTAACTTCTTCTGAGAGTATCAGTTGCAGTACATGTATCGGAAGTATGACCCGTGATTAGTTTAGTGTCACTACTTTTAAGTGTACCATTTATCAAAATAATCTACTAAGTTTATCACGAACGATTTATTTATTTATTAGAACTCTGATCAGCTACTTCCTCGATTATATTTAATGAAAAATAATATTTGAAACCTAGACGCATCTATGACAAGGCGATAATACTAAGTTAAGTGGTAACAAGTATCAGTGCCATTGTTTCCGTAATCACCCTATGATTGCCATATCCATATGCGTGGGCAATGTCTTCATGATGAGTTTGAAAGCTACTGCCTCAACCCACACCCACCACAACCACATCGCTTGCTTTCATAATTTTATCATTTTCCGGTGGGCAAAGCACAAATTCGCATTTTGATTTCTCATTCTTTAAGTTGCTTCCGAGACATTACATATTATGCCGTGCATGTGGCCAAAACGCGTACTACCATAACTTACAGGCAATACAGGTAGACAAATTACCAATGAGACAACTGAATAAATGGTAAAATATCGATACTCAATAAAGTATAAAGCCCTATTCACCTTCCATTTTGCGCTCATGCACGGGCTGCTTCCTCTCTCTCTCTCTCTCTCTCTCAGCTGCTTCTGGGCGCACGGAACGCGGACGGCAACACCTGTATCGCGTATCGCGCACCGCATGGCTCCGCGTCAGCGCCCGACTGTTGACATGCCGACCTTGTTGCAGCATGCAAAATGCCGAGGTCTTCTAAACCACCCTGCGCTATTAACCACTGAATAACAACTATGAAGAACTCGGAAAACGTCAAACTTCCCTACATTAACACCAGAACAATACCGAAAACGTCACACGCGCATACAGGCAATAGTATCTCTATCACTGGCCAAATTTCCGTTGGGATTACAAGCGCGTTATGTGCTCATCCGAATATGGGTCGGTGGTGCCGACGACTAGTGTTTATGCATCACAAGCTTCTATGCTGGCGAGCATGGTAAGTTATTACCTAAGAAAAGCGAAGCTTTGGAACTGCTGTAACTAATACAAAATATACGCATTGAAAATGTTACATACTACCACAAATCACTTTCAATTATATTTCAATTAGCCATCATACAAATACATTCTGTTGCCGCCGGTGCTGCGCGAATGAGATCACGTTATCCGACGATACTGCACGTGTACTCGGGTCCGGGTACACAACTAGTGACGGAGAAGTGGCACATCGACTGGAATACTTATTTGTCGGGAATGAAAGATTATATAGTCATTGAGATCGATGGACGTGGTTCATCCGGCCAGGGTTATCAGCTGTTGCATGAGATCTACAAGCGTCTCGGTTCGGTTGAAGTATCCGACCAGCTGGAAGTGAGTGAATATTTGCGTGATAATTTGCATTTTATCGACGGCCGTCGTATGGGTGTGTGGGGTTGGAGTTATGGCGGTTATACGGCCGCTCTGGCGTTGGCGGGCACACAGTCGATCTTTCAGTGCGGCATCAGTGTGTCACCGGTGACGAATTGGAAGCTTTACGGTAAGTAGTAACGGCAGATGTGAGTAATGAGGTTATAATAGTAGTTGACAAATCAAAATTATTTCTTTGGCAGAGATCACTAATATTTAAATACTGACTTCCAAAGCATTTTAAGTAATACCTATAACCCACTTTTAAAAATATAAGCTATTTTTTCAAAAATTTGGGACGGACACTATTAAAGTTTAATGCTTTCTAAACTTTTTCAATAAACATTTTCTATTTTTCTCTCACCAAAAGATTCCACATACGCTGAGCGCTATCTTAGCTTTCCAAATGTGACTGACAACTACAAAGGCTACGAGGAGGGTGATCTCTCCAAGTATGTGGATAATTTGCGCGATCGTCAATTCCTTTTGGTGCATGGCACCGCCGAAGACAATGTGCATGTGCAACAGTCGATGGTATTAGCGCGTGCGCTCACCAATAAAGGTGTACTCTATAAACAGCAAATCTATCCCGTTGAGGGACATACTTTGGCGGGCGTGAAACGACATCTCTATCGCTCAATGACGAGTTTCTTCGAGGATTGTTTTAAGAAGCTGGTGAGTTTTGTAGTTTCCATACGATTTTAATAATTTTGTTTTTATTTTTTAGTTGTAAAATATTTTCTCACTGAACTTTTGCTTTAACAATGATGCGCTTATTTATTTGTATATATATATTACATATCCCTTGCTAACTTTTAAACAAATCTCCTCAAAAACAAACACACTTTTTGTCTAATACTTTTAAATAAAGACTTTTTTCTCCCCTTTTCTTGGCACACTCATACTACTACAATAACTATATATTGCTATGACTATCACTATCTTTGTTTATCTATCTATCTTTGTTTTTATATTTGTCTTTGTCTTTCACACTTTTGCACTTAAAAAACCTTCTTTTTTCTAATTAATTTAATTTTCAACTATTTTTGTTTTAAATTTTCTATTTATTTCTAAATTTTGATATTAAAAATTGTAAAATTTTGTTTAATTTATTTCCAATATAACTCTAAATTAATATTTTGTTTTTTGTTTAAAATAAACCTCTACTCACTTTTATTTTTCCGATCACAATCGTTTCATAACCTCCAAATCGAATATCCAGCTTGAGCAACAACTGAGTAATCAAACAGATTCCGCGGATTTCTTAGACTTTCATAGTCTTTATGTAAACATTTAAACGTGCAATTATGCGAGTGTCTTAATCGCACACACAAACCCATACCGAAAGACACGATTGGTATCGTGTTTGTGAGATTCATTATTTAAGGTATCCGAAATTATTTTAATCAGTGCTGATTGTTTTATATGTAAATGTCTCATACTTGTTGTGTTTTGGTGTCAGTTGATGTTTTTGTTGTTGTATTTCGAACTACATATAAATGTTTCAATCTGTCTGGCGAGGCTTAAATTTAAGTGCATAGAAATATATGTGGTATCTATGTTTTTTATATTTTTTCAAGCAAGTAAATCATTTAATATAGTGATCAAATTAGAGTAGAGAGAAGTAGAGAGAATTTGTTAGGGTAAAATATTAAGCCTTATTCGTTTGTCCAAACAGTTTTCGTCTTCTGTCTTTATTTATTCGTTTCACTCACCTTTTTCACTTTAAAATAAAAAACACGGCGTATACAAAAAAGGTAGCACGGGCGGAATGTCTCGTACGTCTCTTCGGTTTGATCGCTAACGAAAAAAGGAGCCGTTTTTTCCTCTGTTAGCCCCTTTTGAAGGTTGAGTTGTGTAGAGTTGTGTGATGTGATGTGTATGTGTGGGTGTCTGTGGGGTGTGATGTCTGCGTGGTGTGATGGTGTGTGTTAGTGGGTGGAGTCTTCTTGTGGATCGTGTTGGTGTGGTGTGTTGGCGCTCAGTGGCGCGTATGGAGGGGGGAGGCGTAACTCATTTAGCCATCCCGGCCCCCCTAGGCGAATTTTAGCCTAGCAATCGCTGTAGTTGCTGCAGCGTAGCAACAACACTGCTGAGGCCAGTGGAGCGGCGGTATGTTGGCCTGGGCTGCCGACGCCGCGTTGATGCCTCCTGTCGCCGTGGTCTGGAGGGAGGTGGAGCCGCCTGTCTTCGGGGGCGATCCTGATGGCTGCTCTGCTGCGATCTACGGCTTGGGGCGAGTTGTCGCCCGACGGTCCGCTTTGGGGTGCGGTGCAGCATGGTGTGATGCTGTCTATTGCACAGTTGGCACAGCGTAAACGACGTACACTCCTGTGTCGTGTGGAGCGTAGCCAAACAGTTTAGGCAGTGCCCGTGCGCTTGGGCAACCTGCTGACGTTGTGGTGGCTGCATGCTTCGGAAAATGCTGCAGTGTTGCAGCCGGTGTGTGCGTCGACACAGTGGGCATCGGCTGCGTTGCGGCACCGTTGCCGGTGCTGATGAAGGTGGTAGTGGTCGCGCGCCATTACGGGGAGCGGTTGCAGGGACGATTGCCGCTGCGGTTCGTGGTGTTGGAGCTGCCCCAGGGCGCGGCACATTCATGGCGGACCTCACAGCTGGCGTCGGTGTTGCTGCCATATCTACTTCCATATTGATCTGTATGAAGAAGTTGGAATGATTATACATTTGTGGCATGTAAATGTATGGCGAATGTGCCACGGTATGTGGCAGGAATGGATCGTCAATTTGATCGATCATTGCGGTTAGAATGGTTGGTTTATAACGGTTTTGTCGTTTGCGGGTTTATTGGTTAGTTATACGACTAATTCATTTGCGTCGCGGTAATATCAGCGGATTGTTTGTTATTTGCGGTTTTGTCATTAGATACGGTTGGCAGAAAACATAATTTCACGAGCGGTCTTGTCAGCGTTCCGCTTTGAGTACGGAGATCAACTACTCGTATATGACCGTCGGAACCGTAATATAGTTTTTCTATGCGGCCAAGCCGCCATTCTGTGGGGGGTAGACAATCATCGTGTATGATAACACAGTCTCCAAGCTGTGGTGCCTTTTCTGGAGTTTTCCATCGGTACCTTTTATGAAGGTCCTTGATGTATTCTTCCTTCCATCGGCAGCTGAAATCATGATGGAGAATTTTGATTCTTTCCCATCGATTTAATAGGGATAGCGACCCCACGCCTGGCTCAGGTATGGCCAGAATGGGTGCTCCTTTGAGAAAATGCCCTGGAGTTAGGGCTGTGAAGTCGGAGGGATCTTGCGAGAGTGTTGTGAGTGGCCGTGAATTGAGAACGGCTTCAATTCGAGTTAATAAGGTAGTGAATTCTTCATAATTGAATTTATAATTTCCAGCTACTTTTTTGAAGTGGGATTTGAAGCTTTTTACAGCTGATTCCCATAAACCACCCATATGAGGAGCGCTTGGGGGGATGAATTGCCAATTAATGCCTTGGGGCGCGTACTTTTGTACAATCTCAGGTGAGACTTGTTTGATAAAGTCCACAAATTGTTTTTCGGTGGCTCTTTGAGCACCGATAAATGTTTTACCATTATCGCTCATGATTTTCGATGGAAAGCCGCGTCGACCGACGAAGCGGGCAAATGCCGCAAGGAAAGCCTCCTTCGTCAGATTAGTACAAAGCTCAAGGTGCACTGCTTTTGTCGTAAAACAGACAAAAACAGCCACATAGCCTTTCATCAGAGTGGGAGACCTTAACATGGACGCCTTTATTTGAAAAGGCCCAGCAAAGTCGACACCTGTGATGGAGAAAGGCAGAGCGAAGTTGCAGCGTTCCGGGGGAAGTGCTGCCATAATCTGTGTTCTCATCTTTTGCTTGTGCGTGGTACAGATTTTGCACAAGAAAATGCACTTCTTTATTTGGGGCTTAAGTCGGGGAATGTAAAATTCCTGGCGGACCATATGTTGCATGAGGCGATGTTCGGCATGAAGCATTAATATGTGGATATAATTGATGAGTAGTGTGGCAAGTCGAGACTTCTCTGGAACAATTATGGGATGGCGTTCGTTATACGTTAGGCTTGAATTGGCAAGCCGACCATTCACACGAAGAAGACCTTTCGTGTCGAGGAATGGGTTTAGAACTAAGAGGGGACTTCTCTTGTCAATAGGTTTTGATTCTCTCAAAAGTGATATATCGCGGCTGAAGTAGCGCGCTTGCGTAGATGCGATAAGAGCGACCTTTGCTTTTTGTAAGTCTAGGTGCGTCACTGTATCGCATTGGGAGTGTAATGAAGTTACTCCCTGAAGTTTAATTTTGAGTCGCTCTATGAACTTGAGCATGTAAGCGATTACCCTGAGTGCTCGGGGATACGATGAAAATCGTTCGAGGATGTCAGTATCATCCACTGTTGTGTGAAAAGAGTCGATTTTTCGACTTTCTGGGGCAATTATATTGCGCATGGGCGATTGTGGCCAAGAATCGGGAGATTCTGTTAACCAACGGGGGCCATTCCACCAGAGGGTGGTGGTGGCAAGATGCAGGGGTTTGCATCCTCTTGTACCTAGATCAGCCGGATTGTCAGCACTGGCTACATGTCGCCACGTGGCTGATCCTACTAGGTCAAGGATTTGAGACGTTCGATTGGAAATATACGTCTTCCATGCATGTGGTGGTTTTTCTAACCAGGCGAGTACGATTTCAGAATCGGACCACAGATATAGTTTGTATTTTGCCATGTTTAAATGCATTCGCACCATGGATACTAGTTTGGCTAGTAGTAGCGCTCCACACAGTTCAAGTCGTGGCAGACTTATTGTTTTTAACGGAGCTACTTTTGCTTTTGCTACTAGTAAGTGGCATGTGGTCGCATTGTCGCTTTGTGCGCGAACATATATAGTTGCGCAATATGCCTTTTCAGAAGCGTCACAGAAGCCGTGTAGTTCGACTTTGTGCTCTGGGGCATAATTTACCCATCGTGGGATTTGTATCTGTGAGATATCATGTAGATTGCTCGCAAACTGGGACCACTTTTCTAAACGCAGTGGTTTTACTTGTTCGTCCCAGTCGGTACCATCTAACCATAATTCTTGTATTAGAATTTTGGCTTGTATCATAACTGGCGAAAGCCATCCTGCGGGGTCGAAAAGTTTCGCCACAGAGGATAGAATTTGCCGCTTTGTTATGGCAGATAATGCAGATATTGACTCTGTAGTGTATGAAAACTGGTCAGATATCGCATTCCATTGGATCCCCAGAGTTTTTGTTGTACTTTCCTTTTCGAATTTAAGGAAATTAGTATCTAACAAATTTTCATGTGGTATATTTTTTAGAATATTAGGGTGGTTCGCCGTTATCTTTTTCAACGGAAACCCTGCGGTTTTGAGGGCTTGTATCACTTGTGATAGTGAATCGTATGCTTGCGGAAGACTGTGACTTCCAGACAAGATATCGTCTACATACGTTTGTGTTTTTAACACCTGGGTTGCCAGAGGAAATTCTGACTTGGTGTTTTCTGCCAATTCGTGCAGTGTTCGAATGGCTAAATATGGAGCACAGTTGACGCCAAAGGTAACTGTTTTTAATTTATAGTCGCGGAGTGGACTATTGGGAGATTTTCGGAAAATAATTCGCTGAAAATCTTGATCGTCTTTATGTACGACTATTTGTCTATACATTTTTTCGACGTCTCCGTTAAATACGTATTTGAATATACGCCAATTTAATATGAGGAGCATTAAATCTGGTTGGAGCGTGGGTCCCGTAAATAGAATATCATTTAGGGAATTCCCCGAGCTGGTGGATCTTGATGCATTAAAGACAACTCTTACTTTAGTTGTTTTTTTGTCTGGCTTTACTACTGCGTGATGAGGCAAGTAAAATGAATAATATTTGCCATTTACGATTTTTTCGCATGGGCTTACTTCCTCCATGTGGTCTAAATGGAGGTATTCTTCCAACACGCCATCGTATTCTGGCTTAAGCTCACCTTTTTTAAGTAAGTTTTTTTCCATACTTAAAAACTGCTGCATAGCAGAGGTGCGAGAGTGACCTAAGGCGATTGTGTTGGGAAATTGTTGTTTTAGTGGTAGTCGTACGACATACCGACCATTATCTGATCTAGTAGTTGTGGCTTTGTAAAAGTCTTCACAATACTGATCTTCTGGGGTTGTAATTGATATAGGGGGGAGCTCTTCTAACTCCCAAAATTTCTTTAATTGTGAATTGAGGTATTCGTTTGAGATTTCCTCAACCTGAGTAGTCATGGTTGTAACTGGTTCCGGAACTAGTCCACTTAGGATCCAACCGAAAATAGTATTTTGTGCCAGAAGTGTATTTGAAATTTTCTCAATACCTTCGAGTATTATCTGTGGTATGAGATCGCTGCCTAATAGAAGGTCTATTTGAGCGGGAGTGTTGCAGTTGGGATCTGCCAGCTTTAGGTGTGAAACCTTTTGCCAATGCTTGCTATTTATGTGATAGCTTGGAAGCATATTTGTAAGTTGCGGTAAGACTATAGCTTCTGCTTGTATGTGCTTATCCGCTTGGGGGGAAATTAAGGTAATGGAGCAGATTTTATTAGAGTTTTGAACTACTCTTCCGCCCATTCCTGTAATTTCAAAGTTGGCTTGTTTTGTTGGCAGTTGTAGCCTATTTTGTGCCCTAGACGCTATGAAGGATCGTTGTGATCCTTGGTCTATTAAGGCCCTAAGTTTAAACAGTTCTCCTCGGTGTTC